GCTGGACATCTCAGCTCGACTCACTGTGCTCAAAAAAGGAGAGAGGTCCCGGCGGATGGCCTCCACTTTTGATTTAAAAAATGCTGCAAATTGGTCCGGCGAGAAACTAGGGGGAGGCCCATCGCCCGGACCAACTCCGGAGAGGTCACGTACTATACGGAATAACTCCGCCTGCTGGTTGGACGCCTCGCTTATCCGGTTAGCGAGGTATGATCTACTAGCAGCCTTTACCTTAGCAAGATAAAGGTTAGTAGCGACCCTGACAGCTATCCTGTTAAAATCCATCGGGGCCTTTCTCCATTTGTGCTCTAGCCGTCTCCTGACCCGCTTCCTCGCCCGGAGGTCCCGATTAAACCAGGGTGCCGGGCGGTCTCTGCGGCGGAGAGGGCGTTTAGGTGCGATCATGTCAACAGCCCTAGTCGCGGCAGCAAACCAGCCATCCACCAGAGCCTCGACAGGAGCGCCAGCCAGGTCAGCCGTAACACCTCTCATGGCATCCTGGAATCCAACCGGATCCAGTAGCCTTCGAGGGCGGACCATAACAATAGATCCCTGCTCCCTGCGGGGGGGAGAGCCATTTTAATGGTACACTTTATTAGGTGGTGATCCGACCATGACAAGGGTACCGACTCAAGGTCAGTCACCATCGGACCACTCTCACTCCCATTGGTAGAAAAAACCAGGTCAAGTGTATGACCCCCCACGTGAGTGGGGCCGTTGACATGTTGGGACATGTTCAAGAAGGCCATTAAAGAACATTTAAGCCAAAACAGACTTGAAATTACATGCTAAACACAATGTACAGTGGTGCCTCTCAAGACGATTGCCTCGCGGGACGGTTAATCCACAAGACAATGGGTTTTTGCGATCTCTGTGGGGCTTCGCAAGATGATGTTTTCTTTGGACAATTTTTGCAAGACAATGTTTTGGTCTATGATTTGGAAGACACTTTTTTTTTAGACCGATGCTTTGCAAGACGGTTTTTCCCCCATTGGAACGCATTAATTACCATATTTTTCATTCTGTAACACCCACTTTTTTATCCCAAAAAAGTGGGGGGAAAGTGTATGTATCTTATGGAGTGAATCCTGTAAAAAATGGTTCAAAACCTCTTCAGCCACCCCCACCCAGAAGACTCCCACAGTGCCACCGCTTTACTAGAAGGCCTCCAAACCAGCACCAGAGGCTGCTCACTGTGGCAGCTGCATTGGACCTTGCTGCTCTGCCATCTGAGCTGCTCCCTTTCCAGGATCTGCCTCCTGGAAAGCCAGCAGGGCCAATGGGCCTATGGCTGCAAATTTAAATGGCAGAGGATGGTGAAAATAGCCAAGGACCAAAGGCTAAAGAGAATCTAAAAAGACCAGGGAAAGCACAAATGCAATCCCCCACTATCACAAATGATGAAGTTGAGTTCCCCATATTTGGGGAAATCACAGGGATCAGCACACCTGAAGTGCAATGGATGAGCCTCACCCTGGGAAAATCACTGTCATTACCATGATATTTCCCCTGTAAGGCATGAGTTGGAATGGCCCTTGCACCTCTGGCCCCCTTCTGTGCCCTGCCCCCCCAAGGCATGGTGATCCCCTGGCTGTACCTCCCGCTCAGAACAGGGCTGCACAGCCCCAATCCCACCAGAGGCCAAGAGAGCTCCTTAGTGTTTTCCGTTAGTTGAATTAATAAATACTACAAACCCGTTTGAAAAACCTGAGTCTCGTGAGTTACTGAAAGAAAGAAAAGCCCATATAAACGAACCATCACACTCTTACATATACTCACTTTAACCACTGACTCCAAAATATCAAGGAAGAAATTATTTAACAAGGGCTACAACATATATAAGCTGACCTGTGATCCTCCAGAAAATGCTTTACGAGTTCCTTGGGGGTCATGACCCCCAGGTTGGGAAACACCAATCTAGCACACAATCTATTAAATTTGTTACTTGTGCTTTTAACCATCTTATTAAAATATAT